AGTGCCTCAAAATGGCACCCATAGGGGCTGAGGTCACCCTAAATCCTAATGGCACCCTAAATCCCAATGGCACCCAGAAGGGCTGAGGTCACCCTAAATCCTAATGGCACCCTAAATCCTTATGGCACCCAGAGGGCTGAGGTCACCCTAAATCCTAATGGCACCCTAAATCCTAATGGCACCCATAGGGACTGAGGTCACCCTAAATCCCAATGGCACCCAGAGGGGCTGAGGTCACCATAAATCCTAATGGCACCCATAGGGGCTGAGGTCACCCCAAATCCTAATGGCACCCAGAGGGGCTTTGGTCATCCTAAATCCTAATGGCACCCAGAGGGGCTGAGGTGACCCTAAATCCTAATGGCACCCTAAATCCCAATGGCACCCAGAGGGGCTGAGGTCATCCTAAATCCCCCCTGGGGGTGGTTATGGGGTGTCCCCTTGTACTGGGGTCCCAAACCATGTGGTGGTGATGGTGGGATGATGATGGGTGCCAGGGGGGTGAGGGGACACCAAAAATGAGCATTGCGGGGTCGACAGCATGAGAACCCAAAAGCAGTGCCTCAAAATGGCACCCATAGGGGCTGAGGTCACCCTAAATCCTTATGGCACCCTAAATCCTTATGGCACCCATAGGGGCTGAGGTCACCCTAAATCCTAATGGCACCCATAGGGGCTGAGGTCACCCTAAATCCTAATGGCACTCTAAATCCCAATGGCACCCAGAAGGGCTGAGGTCACCCTAAATCCTAATGGCACCCATAGGGACTGAGGTCACCCTAAATCCTAATGGCACCCAGAGGGGCTGAGGTCACCCTAAATCCCAATGGCACCCAGAGGGGCTGAGGTCACCCTAAATCCTAATGGCACCCATAAGGGCTGAGGTCACCCTAAATCCTAATGGCACCCATAGGGGCTGAGGTCACCCTAAATCCTTATGGCACCCTAAATCCTAATGGCACCCAGAGGGGCTTTGGTCACCCTAAATCCTAATGGCACCCATAGGGGCTGAGGTGACCCTAAATCCTAATGGCACCCTAAATCCCAATGGCACCCAGAGGGGCTGAGGTGACCCTAAATCCCCCCATGGGGTGGCTGTGGGCTCCCCTGTTGTACCTGGGGTCCCTGACTGCGCCGTGGCGATGGCTTGGCGCAGCGTGGGGACGATGTGACGGACGGCGCGCACCGAGACGCACGCCTTGCACAGCGTCCTGAAGAGGGACAGCTGGTCGATGTCCTGCAGCGCCCCTCGTCCCTGCGTCCAAACCCCAATAGGAATGAGAACATCCCCCCCCCTCCGACCCCCAACAAAAAGAAATGGGGTACAGGGGCTCCAAACGAATCCTACAGACCTTCTGTAACGAGGCGGCCGCCCCACCGATGAGCAGCAACGGGGATTCGGCCATCTGGGCGTTCTTGATGGCCGTCACCGCGTTGGTGACGCCGGGGCCGGCGGTGACGGCAGCCACACCGATGTGACCTGAGGGAGGGAATCGGGTTTGGGGTGGGAATAAAGGGGGAGAAAATCGGTGCTGGGAGACCCATGGGGTGCTGAGCTCAACGGGGAGCACGTGAAGGTGGGACACCCCAAAACCCTCCTGCCGTTGGGGAAGAGGAAGGTGTTGGCCATCAGCTTGACCTCCACTCAACCCATTGAAACTGGAGATCCCAAATAGGTTTGGGGTGGGAATAAATGGGGAGAAACCCCTTCATGGAGAGACCCGTGGAATGCTCCACTCAACTGGGATACCATAAAAGTAGGACACCCCAAAACCCTCCAACCTCAGGGGAAGAGGGAGATGTTGGCCATCAGATCTACGTCCCCTCAACCCATTGAAACTGGAGATCCCAAATAGGTTTGGGGTGGGAATAAATGGGGAGAAACCCCTTCACGGAGAGACCCATGGGGTGCTGCGCTCAACAGGGACACCACAAAAGTGGGACACCCCAAAACCCTCCATCCTCAGGGGAAGAGGGAGATGTTGGCCATCAGATCTACGTCGCCTCATCCCATTGACCCATGAGATCCCAAATTGGTTTGGGGTGAGAATAAATGGGGAGAAAACCCTTAATGGAGAGACCCATGGGGTGCTGCGCTCAACGGGGAGCACATGAAGGTGGGACACCCCAAAACCCTCCTGCCTTTGGGGAAGAGGGAGATGTTGGCCATCAGATCTACGTTGCCTCAACCCATTGAAACTGGAGATCCCAAATAGGTTTGGGGTGAGCATAAAAGGGGAGAAACCCCATCCAGAAGCTTCCATAGAGCGCCCTGCTCAACCAAGACCCCCCAAACTGGGACACCCCAAAATCCTCCATCCTTTGGGGAAGAGGACGCCATTGGCCATGAGTTTGACCTCCCCTCATCCCATTGAAACAGGAGATCCCAAATAGGTTTGGGGTGGGAATAAAGGGGGAGAATCCCCATCCAGGAGCTTCCATAGAGCGCCCTGCTCAACCAAGACCCCCCAAACCCGGGACCCCCCCCAAAACCCTCCATCCTTTGGAGCAGAGGGAGATGTTGGCCATCAGCTTGACCTCCCCTCAACCCATTGACCCTGGAGATCCCAAATAGGTTTGCGGTGAGAATAAATGGGGAGAAAACCCTTAATGGAGAGACCCATGGGGTGCTCCACTCAACTGGGAGCACATGAAGGTGGGACACCCCAAAACCCTCCATCCTTTGGAGCAGAGGAAGGTGTTGGCCATCAGATCTACGTCGCCTCATCCCATTGACCCATGAGATCCCAAATAGGTTTGGGGTGAGCATAAATGGGGAGAAACCCCTTCAAGGAGCTTCCACAGAGCGCCCTGCTCAACCAAGACCCCCCAAACCCGGGACCCCTCCCCAAACCCCCCCATCCTTCGGAGCCGTTGGCCGCCAGCTCTACATTCCCATGGGGTCCCTTCACCCCGTTTCCTACCTGACAGCCTGGAAACGGCGTCGGCGGCGAAGACGGCGGTGGCCTCGTGCCGTGTGTCCACCACGCGGATGCCCACCTTCTCGGCGGCCACCAGGATGGGGGAGATGTGACCCCCGGCCAAGGCGAAGACGAAGCGGACGCCGTGAGCCTTCAGCACCTCGGCCACCAGCTCCCCGCCGTGACGGGGACTTTTGGGCTCCACCTTTTGGGGTATTTTTTTGGGGGGACGGGGGGGGTGAGGAAGGTTTGGAAAACGAGGGGTGGTTTGAAATGGAGGGATGGGGATCGGGGTTCGTTTTTCTGCCCCACCTGGTGGAAGAGCTGGTAGAGGAGACCCAAGTGATGGGCGACGCCAAGCAGGGCCACCGCCGCTGTCACCAGGAGCACAGCCAGGGAGCAGCACACAGCGGTGAGGAGATCCATGGTGACGCTGAAAGGGGGGCATGGGGGGGTGGTGACAAGCCCAAAGTGGCACCCAAATTGCATATGGGACCTCTGTGGGATTTGGTGGCACAAGATGGGGGCAGGACACAGAGGGATGGTGACAAAACCCCAAAGTGTCACCCAAATTGCATTGGGGACCTCTGTGGGATTTGGTGGCACCAAATGGGGACGGGACACACAGGGATGGTGACAACCCCAAAGTGTCACCCAACAGCATGACAGTGGACCCCTATGGGATTTGGTGGCACCAAATGGGGGCAGGACAGCAAGGGATGGTGACAACTCCAAGTGTCACCCAAATTGCATTGGGGACCTCTGTGGGATTTGGTGGCACCAAATGGGGGCAGGACACAGAGGGATGGTGACAAAACCCCAAGGTGTGACCCAAATTGCATTGGGGAACCCTTGTGAGATGTGGTGGCACCAAGTGGGGACGGGACACCAAGGGATTGTGACAACTCCAAAGTGTCACCCAACACCATGACAAGGAACCCCTAAGAGATGTGGTGGCACCAGATGGGGATGGGACAAGAGGGGACGGTGACAATCCCAAAGTGTCACCCAAATTGCATTGGGGACCTCTGTGGGATTTGGTGGCACCAAATGGGGACGGGACACACAGGGATGCTGACAACCCCAAGTGTCATCCAATGCCATGACAGGGGACCCCTTGTGAGATGTGGTGGCACCAAATGGGGACAGGACACAGAGGGACGCTGACAACCCCAAAGTGTCACCCAACAGCATGACAGTGGACCTCTATGGGATTTGGTGGCACCAAATGGGGGCAGGACAGCAAGGGATGGTGACAACTCCAAGTGTCACCCAAATTGCATTGGGGACCTCTGTGGGATTTGGTGGCACCAAATGGGGACGAGACACAAAGGGATGGTGACAAAACCCCAAGGTGTGACCCAAATGGCATTGGGGAACCCTTGTGAGATGTGGTGGCACCAAGTGGGGACGGGACACCAAGGGATTGTGACAACTCCAAAGTGTCACCCAACACCATGACAAGGAACCCCTAAGAGATGTGGTGGCACCAGATGGGGACGGGACACAGAGGATGGTGACAACCCCAAGGTGTCACCCAACGCCATGACAGGGGACCTTTGTGGGATTTGGTGGCACCAGATGGGGATGGGACACACAGGGATGCTGACAACCCCCAGGGCCACCAATGGGCTTTAACAATGCCTGCTCACCGACGGCGCTTAATCAAAGCTGGTTAATTGAAGCCACGTTAATTGAGCCCATCCCATTCCCAAGATCATTTGCGTAATTGCAGCTTAACGAAGGCGTCCGGAAGTGGCAGAGATGGGTAACAACCAGCCTGACCCCTTTTCCCCCCCCAAAGCAGGGATGCTGGTATGTTTATTTATGTCAATCTGTCACCAGACGGGTGACATTTTTGGGTTGTTGTCCCCCCCCCCCCCCCCCCCCCCCCAGAGGCGCCATACCTGCTGGGTGACCAGGAGGTGACAGGAGGTGACAGGAGGTGACAATCA